ATAGTAAATTATATATTATCATACTTAGGATATTTGGGTTAATTATAATTAATATTGGCTTGCAATTTCTTTTCTTGTACTATATTAGTTGGGTTTGGATATCAGAGTTTTAATTTAAAATATATTTGTATTCTTTATTCCTTTTTGATTATATAGGCTACATTACTTAATAAAAATAAAATTAAAATAAATTGGAAAGCTTGTTATCCTTCCTCCTGCTATGAACAAGCTTTTAGAAACATGCAACTTGAAAACATAATGTTAAGTTACATAAATCAGACACATACACCTAAGTACCATATGGCTTCTCTCATTGGGGAGATAGGTAGTATGGAGAAAGAGCAAAGTGAAAGACAGATAAAAGGAAAAAGGAAGAGAGATCTTTTCAAATAAGAAGAGAACCAAGAGATGGAGGGTGCGAAGAAGGGGATGTAAAAAGAATCAAGGTGTGTCATGTGTATGTCCCAGTTCCCCACAGTAAATGGAATCATTATGTGTCACAAATATGATCAATAATAATGATGATGATGATAATAATAATAATAATGGGGAAGGGGATCCTGTGATGGTGGGAGAGAGGAGAGAGGGGAGGCAAAAGGGAATAAAAAGAACAAGATCTGTTAATCCCTAGGATTAATGTAAACATTATGTACTGTAAACATGTTCTACTAAAAATAGGATTACTTTTTGAATTTTTCATTCTTTCAAGATTTGGTATGATTTTTCTCTAAAACTATTTGATCCTGGAGTGCATTAAAATGAGGTTATATTTTGACTTCCTTCTTTCTCAAGTCTGGACCCAGAATGTCCCCCAAACTCAGTGTGCTGCAGGCTTGCTCTCCATCCATGGTGCTACTGGGAGAGATGGGAACTTAAGACAGGGGCCCTGTGAGAGGTTTTGTGTCATGGGAGGACCTCTGAAGGGAACCACAACACCCCGATCTCATCCTTTTTCTCTCCCATTTGGATCCATGTGGTGAGCAGCTTTTCTCCACCATGTGCCCCTCATCACAATGTACTGCCTCACCACAGGTCCAAGAACAATGGAGCCAGTCAACCATGGGTCAAAACTTACACCCCTTCGAGCCCTGGTAAACCTTTCCCCTTTAAACTGGTTACCTTAGGTGTTTTGTTACAGTAATGAAAAGATGACGAACACACTTCTCTTCAATGGGTGTTGGTCTATTTTGGTTTCCTCTTTTTGACTCAATTTTGCTAATTGGTTTCCTGAAGAGGTGACACTGGGCTTCAGAGGATACTTTTAGCTTGAAAAAAAAGACAAATACTGTACATGCTCACCTGCAGTTATTCCAGCTTTTGGAGGCCCCACAATTAAGATCCTAATAGGTATAGTAGGCTTAGGTTTGGGTTGGCAGATGTATTTTGGGGGTTCTTCATAAATTTGTCTTTCGTTTTCTTACTAGATAACAAATAATATACTGATGATGAACTACAGGATAAGTTGTATTCTCTGCATTTCCAGCCAGCTGAAATGTTTCTCCTGCACTTATGTGTACATTTGGATTGTGTTGCAAATAACCCTTTGCAAATAGAAAAAGTTATATAGGGTGTACTATTACTGTAATACTCTTTAAATATAAAATTAATCTGTAGAATAATTTCTAAGATTCTGCGCCAAGTGAAAAAACACCTTTTAGTTTTAAATTTATATTCATTTCCCCAGGTGCTGGGGCATACGTGTGTCTGACCACATGCCACAGGGTTCAATCATGGTGATGCTCTGGCCTCCAGGATGACCATTTCCTGGTGTGCTATACCTCCTTGATCCATTGGTTCCATTGAAGAGATAATGTTTGGAGAAAGAAATATCACTTTCTATGGGAATGAAGACAACCAAGAAAGGAAGACATACAGGAGGACTGTCACCAAAAAGTGCAATTCTGAAGGGATGTTATTTACTGTGTAAACGGCACTTCTCCATTTCGATGCCAAAGCAGCTCAGGAGGGCATCTTGCAGGAAGAGCTGGACTATCCACAACTTTATGTCTCCTGCAGTCCACTGGCACTGTGTACTTATTAACATGCTTGAAGACCCAGGGCTTTAAGATCACAAAGGGTTTCAATTTAGCCCTGAAATCTGACTGCAACCTTGCCCCCAAACAAGATTACTTGCCTGTACTTCAAAGCTGTGAAAGCTGGCAGTGACTCGGCTTCTTTATGTGTGAAAGTCATTTGAGGAATCTCTTTCCAGAATATTGAGGATTTGCTCTGGCAAATAATGGTTCTCTACAGTCAGCTTCTCTGGGGCTCCCAAATATTATTCAGCTGTCTTCATATCAGCACTCACAGACTCGGCCCTCACTTTCACATGATGTAATGAACAGTGATAGTTGAATCCTTTAAATCACTCAGCATGATCGTCATACTGAAGTCCATCTTTTCCTTTGAAAATTGCAAACAAACTTTGGGCTTTGACCGTGATTGTCACAACAATGAAAGGGATATAATTCTGAGTCTGTCCTTCAGTCTAAGTCCTTAGCAGCCTCTCCATATCTCAGGCTGGGCCTCCTGAAACTTTTGTTGGTCTTGGTGCTTTTAATGACCCAGATATTTAACAGCTTCTGTCACTTTCCTTTTGTTTGTAAATGTCTTTGTTATGGTGGGATGGGACAGGGCTTACTGAAAATTAACAACTATAGTGATTTTCAACCTCTGTATTACTTAATCATATTTAACTTTGTTTCCATGTCAACCACTTGACCTAGCTTCTTACTACCAACATTTGCAGTGGATTTCGTATTCTTAGGAGCCATGATAAAAACAATATCATGAACTATATATATCAAGGATGAGAGAAAGTGATGCAGTCAATACAATATTAAAAGAAAGAAAGATGTGTGAGGCTGCACACTGTTTTACACAGCATACTACTTTACAGTAAGCTTTAAATAAGTATAATGACCACACTAAAATAATGACCAAAAGTGTAGAATAATACATACATAAACTAGTGACATAATGATTTTGTGATCATTATCAAGCATTACATGCTGTAGGTTTTTATATGACTGCAAGTGGTAGGTTGGATTATCCCAGTGTCACCAGAAGTGTGTGGACAGTGCAGTGTACTATGACACTGACTACAACACCAATAGGCGATATGAATTTTTCAGCTGCATTGTGATCCCATGGACCCACAGTGATAGACGTGATCTGTCATTGACCAAAATATGATGCATCACATGACTATATTCTACAATATGTTTTCAACATAAATATTATCCTTAATAGGATATGCCAGGTACAGAAGAAAACA